CCCCAAAACCCCAAAACCCCAAAACCCCAAACCCCAAAACCCCAAAACCCCAAAACCCCGTAAGACATCTACAAGTAGAAATAATCTTTATATAAAACAAATAAATATTCACAAAATGAAGAAGAGTAAGTGTTCTGAAGGTAGTTGTTTAACAGTCTCAGGCAGCATCAGAAAAGATATTAATGGAACAATTATCCATGATAGAGCTACCGGAAAGAAGTTATCAAGATCTGACAAGAAATCTATCCCAAAAGCCTCCATTTTTAGACAAGGTAAGGGCAATTTTCGAAATTCCAATTGTTATATTTCAATAAATTGTCTTATAGTCTGGTTATAATATGCACTATATTGTTAGTCTTTATCTTGGTGTTAATCTTCTTCTGTCATAATTTCTGCTGATTAAGACTACATGGTAGCATATTTTTACGAATTTTGGTTGGCTTGCATATATGCCTGCTGATCTGCAGCAATTATACTACTTTACTATTGAGGAGATAAGATATTTAGCACTCTTTGGCTACCACCTTTAGTGCTGGTTTTTAGGGGGATATCTCTCAAATCCTTTCAAGAGAATCCTGAACTCGGGAACTTTCTAATATAACCCAAAAATGTCCAGAATGCATTTTATGTAAAGAAAAAGGAAGACATCAAACTTAAAATCCCCTACTAATAAATCTTCCTCTAGTCACTCCATTATCCTTTCCTCCATCCCGCCAAGAATAGGCCCTTCCCAATAGCAAACTTCATAATACATTCCAAAATCTCTTCTATCCAAATTTTCAAACCTCCTATTTTCAATCACAAAAGTCAACCTACGCCTTTTCATAATCGGCCAAACCCTATTTTTCAAATATTGTTCATAGTCTGCAATTTTCCGTTTTGTGTTTGTGGTCTTAGAATATGACAAAAAAATTTGAAGAATGTAAGAAAGAACTTCTGAGGAATGTAGGGGAAGGAAGGTGTGTTGGGGTTGGGGAGGAGGTAGGGTTTGAGATGGGATTTAGAGAAGAAAGATAAGGAAGTTGAATAGATTCTGGATGGTGTTTTTAGGCAGTTTTTGATGGTGCTGTTAGGTATAGGGGTTAGTCTTTTAGTCTTGCTATTTTATGGTGTTTTAAGACTACACTACTAGTTTCCAAGCTGAAGCTGTAAGCTTCCTGCCAGACCTTGAAAGGAAGTTTACAGCTGACTGAGGGCGAAAAGGGGGTCTAGAAGGGAAAGGGGTAGGAGCGAGAGGGGTTAGAGGTAGTAGGCTTTGGAGCTGATGGAGAGATTGGTTGCAAATAGGGTAGTTCAGAAGAGTTTTGAGGGGGCAGAGATTAATAGTGTACTTGTTAGGGATAAAAGTGAAAATTTCTCCATTTGGTTATTTATTACGATATTTAGGAAATAAAATATTTGATTTTGTATCAAAAAATAAAGTGAGTCTTTTATTTAATGTCAATTCAAATAACTGAGATTACCGAAAATTCGTATTAGGGATAACATATTGAAGTCTTATACTTTTCTGGTCTAAACCGTTTATAAGATTTGACAAATAAAATAAGAGACTCCTGCACCAATCCGTGAACTAGTTTTTACCACTACTTGTTCATTAAAATCCCTATCCCAAAGTCAATAAGCTTCCTTAAGAAGATATAATTCGCCAAAATTGTCGAAGCACTCCTTCTTGGCATTTATTTCGTCTTTTTCTTTGACTAAAAATTTGCTGGAATTTTCGTTGTAAAATTCTTACTAGGACACTTTAGCTTAGATTTACTACTTGTTCATATAAGTCTTCTTTGAAACAAATACTCCATTCATAATTTCTTTTCCAATAAGATTGTTAAGATTTTATGTTAATAATAGGCCAAGTCCCAGCTTCCAAACAGAAGAAGATTTGCAACAGAAGATCTAAGTTCAAGCAGTTCAAGAGAGGAACTAAGAAGGTATGAACTTTAGATTGCCAAGAAAGTTTTATTGTAGTCTTATTTTCCTGGTTTTAGAAGTTTTTATGAATATAGCACGCTATATTTTGCATATTTTTGATAGATTTTTAAAATACATCTCTGATATTTTAATAGTACTCCAAAATGGGGAATCTTAACGTCCCAAGAGCAGGAAACAGAGTCAAAAGCATGGATAGGGCAGAGAACATAGACCCAAATCATAACAGGAGTCAGGAGTCAGCTACTCCTGATGCTCAGTCTGTCTTGCTAAACTATTTGAGGCAAAATCCAAACAATCGTAAAGTGTTGTCATTTCTCAAGAAGCAGTAAATATTTCAGCATTAATTTAAAAGCTATGACGTTGAATATGATTTCGACACCAAACAATGGAAACAGAAGGATAACGAGGACAACTCAGAGAAGAAAGAGCTTCCACTGGTAAGATTTAATTCTATTTAATACTAATCACATTTTTATAGGAAAGCATGTCAACTGCATTAAGTTCATTAGTCAACAAAGACTTCAAATCCAGTATCATCACTCAAATGAACAATAAAAAATCAGACAAGGAGTCACCATCAGCTAGGTTTGGCAATTTCCAAGATAGCTCTTTTCATAAAGGTAGGTATTTATCTTCTCATCGAGAATGATATTTAACCCCTGATTTAGCTCCAAAGTCAAAACAAAGCAGGAATAGGTTGTTTTCAGACCCGAGAGACTTTAAATCATCTAAAGGGATTGAACTCGAAGATTATGACACTTTCTTCAAGAAGCAGTGTCTCCCTAAAAATCTGAGAGGTGTCAATCTGAAGGTTCTTGAGCTCAACTCGAGGACAAATGCTTCTAACGTCAATGCTAATATGGTCTGCGAAGTTCCAAAGACTCAGAAAAATGTTATTAACATGAAATATGATCTAAAGAGAATGATTACTAGACTCGACAATGATAAGTTTGATATTAAGGAGATGAAGAAGAAGGCTGGATTGAAACACAAGAAGAAGCTTCATAATCAAAAATCATTCATCCCTCCTGCAGCAGACCAGGCTCCTCCTCTCGTTGGGAACTCATTGGAAGATATGAGAGATAGTAAGGATTTTTTTAAAATAAATCTAGTGACCCCAGAAGGAAATTTCTCTCCAGATATGACTTTAAAGAGACATCAAAATAATTATGTAAACCTAAAGGTATGTTTTTAAATGTCATCATAAAAAGAAATTTAAAGGGCTTTCACATCTTATTATTCCATCCTCGTTAATCTACCTGCAACGAATCATGAAGACTTAGTAGTTCTTGTAACAAGAGAACTTATTATCTTCTCTAAATATTTAATGGGTTTTTGATGAATTTTTTATGATTAATTTATTAAAATTCACTATAGGAGGAAATCCCTTTAACCAAAGCTCTCTCTAGTCATACTCCTGTTCCATTGAGCAAAAGGAGGATTGATAGGGTGAACTCTCCAGTGCAGTGCAAGAATGGAAACATTGTGAAAGGACTAAGTAAGACTAATTTTTATGCTTTAGGAGTTCTAAGTTCTTTCCGTAATACAGCTATCACTCCTACCAAAGGTAAGCCATTCGCATGCTTGTTTTATATTTCTCAAATTTTTATAAAGAAGTTCTTATTTTTCCTCTAGGCCGTCCAAACAAATATACTGGCAGGAATCAAAACTCTGGAGATTTTTACGTTCATCATCAGCCAAAGAGCAGAATCATGAGCTCCCGCATAAAAGAGCAAGGTGGTAGGACGATGAAGAAGAACAAGTTGATTAAAAACATTGCCAAGATGGTATTTGTCAAAAACCACAATATGAGAAGTTGCTCTCCTCCTGTAAACAGGAACAAGACCCCTTTGAACTTTGGAGCTGCACTAAAGTCTATTTAATAGTATTTAAGAATCTCTTCATTACCATATTTATTATTAAGGAAATGCATCAAAAGTTCCCATCTAGCTAGGGGTTTTGGGGTTTTGGGGTTTTGGGGTTTTGGGG